TAAGAGGTTTTTGTGATTGCTGTTGTTCTTTTAAAGCACAGGAGTGAGATGAAGTGATTTGTATTTTTAAGAGATCACTCTGGCTGCTTCGAGAAAACGCTGCAAGGTAGGAAGGGGACAGGAGAAAAAGCAGGGAGTCTACTAGGGGTGGTGCCCAAGGCTTCCCCATGACCTGGACGAAATGTCTCTGCAGGCGACGCAGCCGTCTCTCCTCCATGCCGACGCTGAAGGAGGAGTTTGGACCAAAGGATGAGTCTAGTCAAAGGGAGCGGAGTACCCACCCAGGGTAAGAACTGAGCAGGGGAAGAGTGACCCGGAGGACAGATCTTTCCTGTCACTCATCAGCAGTCTCCTTGGAGGAGCAGAAATGGTTAACTTGTTCATCATAAAAGGACTGCATGAGGGCCAGGCACGCAGCAGCTCCCGACCCATGTCCTCCTCCAGTGCTGCCCCAGTTCTGTTCCCTTTACTACTGTTTTCCTGGTATTTTCCCAGCCTGAACCTCCTGAACCCCCTCCTCCTTTATTCAACTCTTATTTGACATCTCCTCTTAGACTTCTGACTTCTCAGATTTATCACGTCCAGAATAAAACTCAACTTCCTTCTCCAAAATTACTTCACCCACAATGTTCCCCAACTCGGTAAATAGCAACCATCCTTCCACACATAATGTATGTTGTTTTTCTGTCTTTTCCACCAAAATGTGAGCTCTATGAGTGCAGGGGCTTTGATTTCCTCACTGCCAAGTCGCCAGGCAGGAACAGTGCTCGGCCCTCTGCTTTACTTGGGAATGAGAGTGGGTGGCAGCGCTTTATCCCTTGAACCTTAGCGCTCCATATCTGTCTTCTTTTAGGGCAGTTGTCTTGTTCAGGGGGCCTAACTTTGCAAATGGTAGGCATGTAATAAATGTTGGCTGGGTGGGTATGTGGATGGATGGATGGATGGATGGGTGGATGGATGGATGGAAGGAAGGAAGGTAGGAAGGAAGGAAGGAAGGAAGGAAGGAAGGAAGGAAAGAAGGAAAGAAGGAAGGAAGGAAGGAAGGAAGGAAGGAAATAAGGAAGGGATGGATAGATGGGCAGACAGATAGACAGATAAAGTAGGGAAGGATGGGTGAAACCTGCCTCTCTGTAACTTATCCAGGGCAAATGACCAAGACTTCTCCCCTGAATGGTATATATGTGGTATGTCTCAGGCTTCCAACCCCCAGTGAGTGCAAACCTGTCACATTTGTAGTGATCTCATTTATATAATTGATGATTTAAGCACACATTCACCAACACTACCTCCAGCTTTTTAAATAAGCATACTCCACTGAGAATTTCTACAAATCCTCAGATGTGCTCAAGCCCCTACTAGCTTGCGAATCCTATGCAATGTCATTTTCTACTTCAAAGACCTCATGAAATCGGGATTCACAGAGATTCAGAGCCACGGCCCACAGACGTTATCATGCTTCTGCTCCATTGCTGAGCCAACCATTCAACCACCAAAATTCTAACCTGCCAGGCCACTGATCTCCACTGTTCTCCTTCTACTGCCCAAGAATAGCCACTTCAAGGTTCCCATAGAGCCATGATGGGCCCCTAGTGACAGTTTTTTCCTTTCATTCTCCAAAGTTTTTTTCCTTTCATTCTCAAGAGGGTGAAGGCGTGAGGTCAAGGGTGCACTGCACCAACGGGGAGCAATGAGGAGGCTCACCCCATACTGTACCTACCACCAGTGAGCCCGCTAATCTCCAGGGCTCATCATCCAGTCTGATACACACAGCCAGATGTCTTCTTCACTCAGATGTCATTTTCTCTCAGGAATCTGTTTTTCTCTCATCCAGCGAAGATTGCTTTGAGGATCTCTAGTCTATCAGACAGGCCTCAATGTGTCTGAATCCTAAATGAGGACGAGGTTCAGTGGGCTTCTTCCCCACAAGGCTCCTAAATCTCACGCAAAACAAGATAGACAAGCATGTCTAATGTTCTTGAACATTCTGTGAGGAACAATAATTCCATGAACGTTGTAGGATACTTAGGGGGTGGCTTGCATGAGCACACAGAAGATCTAACTCTGCACAGTATGTAACAAAGTCTTATTTCTGACCCAATCAAAATAGCCTTTTATGAGTGCTTGAATGAGCCCTATATTATCTAGAGAGGGCTAAACTGCTAGATCAAGACTTATCAAAAATTCTGTGATTTAACTGAACATACTGTCTCGTAATGAACAGTTTCACACTATACTTTTCAGGCGGGCATGCGACTAGGCTCCATAGGGTTATTCAGGAATCTAGGCTGATGGTGGCTCTCCTATCTTCATTATATAGCTTCTGGAGTCTTCCTACTCATCACCATGCCATTGCGTAGGAAAGGGAGAAAAGGTGTGAAGGAGAGAGCAATGTTTCACAACTCGGTCCTGGAAGTGGCCACATCGTTCCCCTTACAATCTAATGGTGAGAACCTGGCCACATGGTCCCACCTTGCTGCAAAGGAGACTGGGATATGTGGTCCCTGGCCAGCAGCCCCAAGTCAGGTATAACTCTATTGCCCTAGAACAAGGGACAGTAAATTATAGCCCAAGGGTCAAATCCTTGAGCCCCTGGGTTTTGTGAACAAAGTTTTACTACAGCACAGCCACACCCTTGTTTACACATTATCTATGGCTGCTTTACCTGCTACAGAGGCAGAGCCAAGCAGTTATGACAGACCTTCTGGCCTGCAAAGTCTAAAATATTTACCATCTGGCCCTTTACAGAAAACGTTTGCTATCCCCTTCTCTACAAAAAAAATGGAGAATGGATTCAGGGGGACAACTAGCAGCCTACACTTACGAAATTTATCTGGGAAATTATTATAAAGACATAAGGACAAAAATATCTCTTGAAGAATTGTCTGTCATACCAAAAGACTAAAAACAACTTATAAAGGACTGTTCAATTTTGGACCATGCATACCACAGAATACATGTGACATTTAAAAAGAATGAGGAAGTTCAATATGCACTGATTAGAAAATAGCCAAATATATTAACTTTAAAACATAAAATGCAGAACAGTATGTTTAGAATGTTACCCTTTGTGGAGAGAAAAAAAATTTAATACATAATAACACCTATACGCTTACATGGGCATAAAAAACTCCTCGAAAGATATAAAGAAAACTGAAAACAGAAATTGTTTCTGGGTAGGGAAGTCAGAAAACTGAAGGACAGAATGGAAGGAAGTTTACTTACTTTTCACAATATACCTTTCTAGGTAGTTTGAATTTGTTCAATGTACATGTACAATCTATTTTGAAAATAATTAAAAATTAAACCTAGTAAAACCACATACACAAAAGAGTTTGTCTTTATAACCTACCCCTCTTCTGAAGGACAAAATTTTTCTTAGAAGCCATGTAATATCTTCAATCAGGACTAGTCAGTCCCGTTGACCTGTGAACCACTTTACATTACTGTATTTGCTTCCCTGCTCCACTGTATGTCAGAGTCTGAGATATCTTATTTCTCTAACTTTCATAGTCAACTCACAAAATCTACTTCAGTCCCCTCCTTTTCTTGAGAGTTCCTCTTTCTAAACAGACAGTAATGTCTATGGCTATGCCACCCTGAACGTGCCCAATCCCGTCTGATCTCGGAAGCTAAGCAGGGTCAGGCCTGGTTTGTACTTGGATGGGAGACCACCCAGGAATACCAGGTGCTGTTGATGTTTAAAAAAATAAAATAAACAGACAGTAATTATCAGTATTTATTCAGTTCTCTCACATCTTGAGTATAAAGAGAATCAAATCTGACCTCAGAGAAAAATTACGCACAGAAAGACAAAAGTAAGTTTTCAAAGCCAGATAAACTGAAAAAACATTTTGTAAGGGAACCCACCTTTCCGTTGAAACTTACAGTGATCCAACTCACAAAAGCCAAAGAAAAAGAGGAATCTACTGGTTTATACGACTGGAAAGTTCAAAAGTTGGGGCTGGCTTGAAACAAAGATAGCCGTGGATGCTCAGCAATGCCCGTGGGGCTGTCGCTCTGCTCTCGGCACCGTGGGGCTGCATTCTGCAGTCGGACGCTTCTCCTGAGGCAGCAAGGTGCGCGCAGCTGCCCCAAAATCCCCGAGGTTTGCAATCCTGATAGTGAGAGAATTTTTCTCTCTGAACTCGACAGAGCAAACCCAGAGAACACTGTGGCAGGTCATTCTTAGACCTGTCCAAGGGGAGGGTCCACACGTGGCCTAGCTTAGGCTACATGCATTTACCTTTGGGCCACCAGGACTATGTGAAAAGTGCGAGGACAGAAGAATTCCCCAAAGGGCACCGTAGGAGTGTTAGGTAGAAGAAACAACAAATTTCCTCTATTGCTTCCAACAAGTCAAGACTATGAACGCTGGATATTTTATAGGCTCAAAACCATAAACCTTGTGCCCTACCTGGTTAAAAGTAGAGAGGGTTTTCTATTTTAAGGTAAGGTGACGGGGCAGTTCAAAGTTACATACACACATTGTCTGATTTGTCAGTATTAGACATAATTTTAAATACCAGATGAGAAACCTGCTCATAAATAGCCAAAGTGGGGGCGGGGTGGGAATGAAATTTGTAAATCAGATTGCAATCCTTTCGTCTCTCCAAAACGTTTTGCTCAGGACAAAGTATTTCCGTGATGCGGCTTGCCAAAATGTATCGTCTTCATTTGAGCCACATACTTTTTAAATCACCATCAGAGATTCAATGGAGATATCTAAGTACGAGGTCTATATTTAGCTCTAAATTAAAAAATAACTTAAGAGTTTGGATTTGTATTCCTCTTACCAAAATTCATTCACTTTCTCCCAGAATCTTCCTGATCAGCTGAACCAAATGGATATGTGGTAATTCCTTAGATTGCTTGATTCTTCAACAAATGATTTCAGTTGTCCCTCCACAGCACGAGGCTAAGGTCAAAAGCTTGAATATCCTTGCTATATGAAATGACTCATTTTTACAGTAGAATCACGAAGACATGAATGAGAGCTAGTGTTATGTGCCAGTTTAATGTCAAACATCTTTTATTTGGAATTATACGATTAAAGCCAAATTTCCAAAACATCTTCAAGAAGGAAGATTGATAAATGTATTTTAAAGCAATAGTTCTCATCTACGACTGAGATATTCTTGGGTATCTCAGGTCATCAAGAGTGACACAAAATCTTAAAAACAAAATTAAATCAATTTTATTGAAAAAAACAAACAAACATAAATAGGTCAGATAACACTCAAGCCTGAAAGGGCCGCGATCTTTTTAAAGAACATAATAAATAGTCCAACAAGACTAATACTTATTGCTGATTCAGCTCACAACATCAGCCCTCTTCAAGCAGCAACACAATCACTCGCAAACATCTACGGGGACCTTTTATGGGTATTAGAGATTCACTGAACAGTAAGCCACAGCCCTGCCCTCCAGGAGCTTACAGTGTAGCTGGAGAGAAATGAAACGACCAGAACAGACACAATGTTCACACATCTATCACAACAAAAGCAGTTACTGGCATAAGTCACCAAATGTTGTAACAAATGAGCCATAGGAATATCTCAACAAATATACACCATATCAAGTTTCAACCTATCAGAAAACAAAAACAAAAAACATTTTTATTTAGCTGTTTTTTTGTTCACTCATTTTTCAACTGAACTGAATTAAAAGAGGAAAACGTAATTCCAAGCCAAATGTACCGTAACATTTACTGACTCGTTCATGTTTTAGAATTTCTCCACGGTTCTACATCCAGATGTCAAGTTCAGTAGTTTTGACTGCCAAACCGATGTACAAATTCAGACAGCGAGTAGACAGCTCCCCACCCTACCTCTGGATCCATACTGATAAAATCATTCAGGTTCATTTTGGAATCTAAAAAAATACATGAAAGAAATGTCCACTGAAAGCACAATTTTGGTTTAACAACAAGAAAACCACCCAGAAGATCAAAAGTAGAAGAAAATTATTCAATATCACTTCTCTGGTATTCTTGTCGCAAATGTGTAACCTTGATCTAATCATGACAAAACATCACACAAACCCAAACTGAGGGACATTCACAAAATAACTGAACAGTACTCTTCGAAAGTTTAAAAGTTATAAAAGTAAAAAAGAAACTGTTACAGACTCTGAAAGAGACTAAGGAGACATGACAACTAAGTAGCCTGGTCAAAAAAAAAAAAAAAAAAAATTAGTGGGAAAACTGCAAAATTTAAATTAGATCTGTAAGTTAATAGCATTATGACAACATTTTGTACCAATTGTATCATTTTCTTGGTTTCAGTAATTACACTACTGGTTTACTAGATACTCAGAATCTAAGTAAAGTATATACAGGAACTCTGTCCTATTTTAGCAAATTCTCTAGAAGTCCAAAATTATTTCAAAATAAAAAGTTAAATGAAAAAAATGCATAAGTAATCAAACTGCCAATTTATTGGATTCAACTGCCAATTTACAGGAAATTCAGAGGATACAAAAGAGATACGATTAGCAAAATCCAGACTGTTTCTCCCAGCCTCAGTTTCTTCAACAAATAAATTACAAGAAAGAAAAAAAAAAGTTGGACAAGGAATCTATATATTAAAAAGACCACCTCATGACAAAAAAAGCAAGACAATCAGCAAAACCAGAAGTTTTGCCTAAGTCATCAGAGAGCCGGGATGCAGGATGACCAAGTGACCCAAAATAAAGGAAGATGGGCACCTCCCAGGAGAGATGGAAGCGTCCGTCTTGCTTATCTGAGGTCTCTGCCAGCTCCATGTAAGTCAGCAAGTGAGTCAGCTCAATTTTTTAACAAATTGCTAATGGAAACCTCAACTTCTGAAATACGACAGAATTTGTTTTCTAGGACTTTTTAAAAATAAATAGAAAATGATTACTCCCTGCAGGCATTCGTTACTTAAAAAGATCAATGTATAAAAACAAAAGGAAAATTTAAAAAGTGTTAGAAGATCAATGTGTAACACATGAGTATTTGCCTACACTCTCCCCACGAGGCACTATAACACTTCCATTTATAATACCAGTCCTCGAGCTCGACTCAGAATTGTCAGTGTTACTACAACACATCTGACAGCAGGCAGCTTAGAGGTATGTGCGGGCAAGCAGCAGCCGAGGGCTCGGAAAGAGAAGCAGACAAATCTGGTGTACTCTATAATTCAGCCTAAGACTTGGCAAATGTCTTCAAAAATTGAGTCATCGATAGCTGGCACTGGAGCTGAGTCTTCGGAGCAATACTATCAGACTGTAAATCTTAACTTCTTTCTTCTCAGGAAAAAAAAGAGGTCCTTTCTTTAAAATACATTAAGTGCTAAACTAAAAATAGTGGTCCTGCAGACAGACCCATGGCCGCCAAAATCATTAAATGTATAGGCTTAATCACAATACACAATATATCGAATGTACTAAATTTTAAGTCAGGAGAGTCAATCCCTGACTGTAAAGTTGCTATTAAAATACCTGAAACATGCATTAACTTAAAGCTTGATGTTTTCTTGAACCTTTTTTTTTTAACCTTTTTTTAAAATAAAATATTACTAATTAGCTAAAAGTAATTCCCATTTAACTTTGGATGTATTCCTTTGATAAATACAGGGCTTAAAGTAATGAATTTACCTTATAGAGACCATTACAATATGGTTAAATTATTACATGAGAAACCAGTTACAGTCACCCCACACTTCAGAGCAGATTCCTTTTAGTTTCAATCTCAAGTTCAGGAGGCCCCTGATGAACTACTTACATATGCAGCAAGAAAAGACATCCCCTCCTCATAAAACAAAAACCCTCCTCAAGCACAGCGTGCTGACCCTGCCACTTTCTACAGAGGTGCACCTTAATTTCCATGCACTTCAATTTACACATTTATCAACGGAAAAATAATGCTTGACTCGAGTTGCAGTGAAAGTTAATCAACAGAAAAAGCGGCTAGCACAATATAGCACCTACTGGGTAGTAGTCATCAAAACCCCAAAGAATGACTCGAAGAGCATGAGGGCTGATGAGATAATGTTTATTGAAACCTACGATGCGCTAGGCTCCGTGTTAGTGCTCATGCTGAAAAGAATAACAGAGAGCTGCCAAGGCACGTGTCCAAGACCACACCCTGCACAGCAGGTGTCTAAGACTGGCAGGCCGACCATGAGGCCCTCTCCTAACCCAGGGGCTGTCCCAACTCTGATGCTGAGCCCGGGGAAGCAGGCTGGTGGACCAGAAAGCAACTCCCACGTAAATTTCAAAAAAAAAAAAAAAACAAAAAACTGAGAGCCCTTCACAGAGCCCCTCAAAAACCAGAGTTTGAATCCTCTTTTAGTTCATTCCCTTCACAGACGCCAAATATATTTTTTTCCTTTCTTCCTTGCTGAACTCCGAATACTTCTGTCCCACCTTTCCGGCATGCTGCACAGCCTACAGAGCACTTTCACACAGACAGGGTCACTCACGTGATGGGATGATCTCACCACGAAATGGCAACGTTGTGAATTACAACCATAAATAATGATTCAACTCGTGTGGATGCCAAACGGTCGTAATAGGGCGAAGAACCCTTTATCTACTCAAATCGCAAAAAATTATTCACTGGACCGATGCCTAAAAGCACATAAACGGGACGAGTGGTACAATAAAACTTGCTGTCGCTTCCTCCTAAGGAGCACTTGGTTCTGAGACAGGGAAATGACGTTTCGTATATCACCATAATGCGCTGGGGATCCTTTTCACCATAACATGAAACCCTACAATGGCAAGGTGCTACTCATCCCTGTCAAACGACACGCACGGGCAGCCTTCCTGAGTCCGGGGTCCCGGGGGCAGCTCCATTCCGCACTCTAGCCAGTGTCGCGGTTCTGCTCCTCCACACCTTTTCTCTCCCGTGAGCTCTTGTGCCCCCTAGTCCTGCTCTCTGTGCCTCAATTTCTGAATGCACTAAATACACAGAACTACACTTCCTCGTGCCTCCTCACCACTCAGGGGGTTTACCGCAAGAACAATGCGATTTTTGTCCTTGGTTAAGGGAAAAGGCTGATCTGCCCAGGGACCGGAAACCTCTGAGGAGGCACCTTTGGCTCACCTCCAGTTTCAATGCAGGGGTACGATGGAGGAGGCTCTCTCCAGTTCCCACTGGAATCTTTCATGTGAGACCGGTCAGAAGCAAAGTTCTTCAAATATGAATCTGCACGGATCACTCTAAATTTCCTGAAAATAAATCGACATTCGTTTATCTCAGGGAAGTATCGCAGCTCAAATTCTAACTCAGTTGTTATAGAGACTCATTTTCTATGACATGCACAAAACTACTGCAGGCATTTCTGTACTATTAGTAACACGAAAAAATATGTGCAGTCTTTTTGCCTGTTAAAGAAGCCATGAGAAATGGTCAGAGGAAATCCAAAACTACAAAGGCACAGAGATAGATCTGGTTGCCATGATTTACTCAACTGTGGATCAAGGGCAAAGCACGTAATTTTCAGGTGCTGCCATGACTGCCCTCTCAATTTTGGTATCACAAGGCGTCCCACTCCATCACCCCAATCCACACATACCCCCCACAAAACAAGAGCATAAGAGAAACCCCCAAAATGACTAAGAAAATGTTTGGGCTCTTATCACACAAATTTTTAAAAGACTGCCAACCTTTTATACGATGAGCCATCTTTAAAACTTTAAAACATTTTGAATCTTCTGTGTAGCACATCATTCTCAAATATCAACTCAATGGTGATGCCAAGACAAGCGATCTTTACAAAACAAATGCAAAAACAAACACAACAACTATATATATCTGTCAAGCTCTCACTTCAGAAAGTTGAAAAATCCGTCCTGAACTTCCTCACCTTCTAAACTGTGGATGGATGTCTTCATCAGACTTAAAGGCATCTTCCACATAAGCGTCAAAAGCACAGGGAAATGGCAAGACAGTATCGAGATCATAAATGAAGCTCTGTCCTCCACTTGAAACATGAAGCAAGACAACATGGTAATCCTAGAAGTAAAAGTTGCTGAAGTTAACCAAGTGACTTCATGATGGTGAATTCCAAGGTGATGTGATATATAATGCATGTATATCACCAAAAATGGATACAAGACTAATACAGCCCTCCTCATCAAAGCAAAATAAAGCAAACAATAAAACTCTGAAAACAGACCAAATGTCCAGTGACAGAGAACAGTTACATAAGTAGTAAAAATGTTCATATATATTAAATGTATACCCTTTGACCTAGCAATTTTACCTCTAGGAATCCATCCTCTGTAAAAATGGCCATATACATAGAAAGGTATACATGCAAAGAAAATCTCTGCATCACTGTTTATAATAGCAGAAATTCGGAAACAACCAGAAGTCCACCAAGAGGGGAATGGTTAATAAACCAAATGCAGCCATTTGATGGAATACTACATAGCTGTTAAAAAGATTTTAGTAAATTTATGGGGAAAACAAAATTGTCCATGTTATCTAATTGGATGGAAGAAGAAAACTGCAAAATACACATATTACTTTTTAAAAGCTATATATATAAAAAGATACATGCACACTCAGAAGTACAATATGCATGCATATGAATACAAAGGAGAAGTCTGCAAGATCCTTTAAACTATTAACAAAAGGGACTGTTGAGGTTAGCCTGGAGAAGGGGAAGGACTTTAATTTCCTGTTTTATGCTACATTTGTAATTAAAAGAAAGAAAGTGTTGGTTTTGGTTTTGTTTTTTTTTAAAGTCAGCTAAGCCCTCATCTGCAACCATTAAGGGAGAATGATAGAGAGAGTTTCTCCCACAGAGCTTGGTCACAGAGCTCGCGCGCGTGCGTGTGTGTGTGTGTGTGTGCGCGCGCGGCGGTCACAGAGCGCGCGCGCACGTGTGTGTGTGTGTGTGTGCGCGCGCGCGCACGCCTACTCTCACTCCCAGACACCGGGCACTGCTGGGAGTGATGTCAGAGAGGTTATCACAAGACATGAGGGTATTCTGGTGCTTTGAGTTCCTTAGAAGAAAAACACTGTCACAGAGAACAGCTCTGCAAGATAAAAAGTAGCTCAATCACATTAGTACAACATTCATAACACCGCCTCACATTTCTAGTACTTCAAAGCTTACTAAACGCCTTTCTCCAACGTTATTTCATTTGACTCCGTGAGGTGGGAAAGATCTTTGAGACTAGCGATGTTGTACTATCAGAGCCTTCGGCTTCAATCCTATCTAAGTAAAACAGAACAGGCATCAGAAACGGATGCGTATTCCCTGTACTCCCTTAACGCATCCCACCCTCCAGCGGCAAGTGAAGAGCAGCTCCCCATGACAGTCCAGTTTCCTCCCCCTGGGCTCATTCTTGTTACTCCCCTCCACCTGCAGCAACCTTCTGTGCCTCTCTCCCACATCCACCACTCAAGCTCTGGCTCCAATGCTTTCTCCTCCAGGAATCTCTTTTTTATATTCTCTCACCCCCTGCCAGTAGTTGTTTCTGCCTTCTCCAAAATCTGTTTCTCTCTTGACATCTTCTAACTCATATGAGTTTTTTGAAGTACATATGCCCTATTATTTGTGGGAAATTGCGTTGTTGAAATATAGGTACAGAGATGCAGAAGACAGGTCCTTGCCTTCAAGGAGTTCCCGAAGGAGTGGGAAACGCGAGTCAACTGTTGCCGGAAGCACGTGAGGATGGGATGGAACGTGAGCATGCGGCGAGGCTCGTTCAACTCTCAGCCCCTTCACTTACCAGCCTCAGTCTCCTCTTTTAGAAAGTGGAGATACCTACAGCATTTACCTTAGTGTTACTGGGGAAATTAACAAGATTACGTATGTAAATACTTTTTAAAAAGCCAACCAAGAAACACTGGGAATAGGGGCCCCAACAGCCAAGGAGAGTTTCACTGAGGAAGGGCTGCCGTCACTGAATCTCACCCAAAGGAGTGCTTTCCAGAAAGAAGAGACGACTGTGCAAAGACATAAATGATAAATATCCACACCCTTCTAATTAGTTCCGGTCCATATTCCTACATATCAGATGGATAACGAACTCAAGGGAAAGTAGGCTTAGGCTTGGAATTGCTTTCATAGCTCAGATGTGGAGCCAACAAACGCAGACTGAAGCAGCAGCCTGGCTCTGAGTTGGGTTTGGTGCTTGCCCAACTGCCAGGAAAGGCCCAGTGGGGCTAGGGGACGGGATGGCCACCGAGAAGTGATCTGCTCCTTGGTGTCTGGTGTCTCTACCCGCTCAGGGAGGCCTACCCGTTTCCTACAGCAGCACGGCAGTGTGGCAGATAAACCTGCCAGACGGTGTGGGGACACCTCCTGCACCAGGATTTCCCACCCTGAGCTGCTGTGAGATGTTGTGTAAGGGGACCACGACCTAAGGTCCTTTCTCTGCACGCTTCCCTAAGACAAGAAGACCACAACGCAAAATCTGCTGAGAGGTTCAGCAATGGGGATGATTTCTAGGGCAGGTGGACAATCTGCAGTGTTGCTAACAATAAGCTAATGCTTCTCGAGCACCAGTACCACATTGTGCCAGATACCAGGATAATGCTTTAAATGCATTATCTCATTTAGGCCTTACAACCCCACTGACCAGAGAAGGACACTGAAAAAAGAAATAACACATCCAGTTCACACAGCCCTCCGGTAAGACTGAAGCCTGACCCACCTGCTTCCCTTGGCCCATGTTCCCCGCCCAGTGCTGCTGGATTTAGGCTTTAATGTTAGAGTAGCAGACAACCTGCTGGTAAAGGAAGCAGGACCGTGAGCTCCACGAAGCCAGGGATCGGTCTATTTTGTGCCTGGCATATAACAGGCACTCAATCAATGTATGTTAAATGAATGAAGCCAATTAAAATGATACCTTATTTTAAATAAGTAACAGAAACTAGATGTTTATGACATTATCATAAACAGAGTTTTACTTTATCTTCATGTTTATCAGTATAAACAATTCTGTTCTTCAGGGGACCAGGTTAGGACAACACACATATGTGTACTGGAAAGGACCCAGGCCTGAGATCCAGTCCTACCATGGGTCAGCTAGATGACCTTGAGCTACTCACTTTGCCTTTCTGGGCTTATTTCTTCACCTGAAAAATGAACATGTTAAAGTAGATCTGTGTTTTTCCAATGCCAGTCATGTTCATTCAGAAGTCTGCTAAAAATACTAATTCCTGAACCCTTCCCTAGATCAACTAAATCAGAAACCTGTATTTTGACATAGTCTCCAGATAATTCTACCGTGCAGCTGGACTATATATTCTTTCCAGTGCTAAATGGATAAGAGTTCAGGAGATCACAAATATATCTTCCACACAGACCATTAAAAGTCCTTCCTGTAATAATTTCAAAACTAAAAGAAAACATGCCTGCTAGTGCTTCCACCTTGGACCAAATAACATCTCTTCTGAAAAGGTCAATTGAGTAATACTTATTATTGCTTTTCTCTACTGCCCTATCATTTCTGCCTTACCAAAACATGAAGACCACTCAGGGACAATGACTAACACATAGGAAGCTCTCTCTCTGTTGACCATCTTACCCAGATGACAGGTCCATCTCCAGGTCTTGCCTGCTGTTTCCAGATAGGTATCTACAAAACACAGTAAATTTCATAAGCCGCGACTTCAGTTAAACCGCTACTAAATTCTGTAAAGCAGGACGTGGTTCCATAGTATGGCAGTTAGCACATCGGCTTTACATGCAGAAGGTGCTGGGTTCGCGCCCCAGTGGAGCCACAGGCCATGGTCTATGGCCACGTCACCCTGAACAAACCCGATGTCTGATCTCGTAAGCTAAGGAAGCTAAGCAGGGTCGGGCCTGGTTAGCACTTGGACAGGAGACCACCTAGGAAGACCAGGTGCTATAGGCATAAATAATAATAAATTTTAAAAAAAAAATTCTTTAAAGCAATACTTAAATGAAAAAGAAAATATTTACAAGCAACCAACGATCAAAGTGATAGAATGAACGGGTAAGAAGAAATCTAGATCTTTCCACAAATCCTTCCAAGTGTCCTGAACAATGACAGAGCAAAAATGTATTACACGACATTCTCTGGAGAGTAGAAAGAGACCTGAGCTAGGAGTCAGAAAGCTTGGCAGGTTCCAGCCTTCTTTACCACTTAATTATTCATGGGACCTCCCTGACAGCTATAAAACAGAGACAGCTGTCTGAACCTTGCCCATTTCACAGGGTTTCCATTAGGATCCACTGAGGTGATGCTTGCAAAGTGCTTTACAAAATATAAAGGGCTTACTTTTTTAATACTTCATTTAAGTTTACTGTAGTTCTATTTAAACTCCAAAAACAAAGAAATCTTTACCTCAAAGCTGAGAGTTTGTGCCTCCAAATTAAGCAATTTTAAAAGCTCTAACTTAATACCTAAAGAAAAGGGATTTAATCTATGTGAACGTATCATCACATATTTCCTTACCTACAAGTAAAGAACTAAACACTCCCTAACTCAACCGTGCCCTAGAAGGGAAAAAAAATCTCATTAAAAAACAAACTTTAAAATGTTGCTATATTTTATAAAGCACATTTTAAAACAGTACTAAACCCTTGCTATATTTAGCTTATACTGTCATCCTAAATTTTTTATTTTCTTTCTGCAATCATTCCCCAACTTACCATCTTCCGCTCATTAGATATGAAGACAGCGTAACATTCTTCTAAAGGATACTGGTCATGGTTTTTGATGTATTCACAGAGCTTCCAAATATTTTCTTCACTGAAATAAAATAATTGTTTACTCAATAAAATTAAGCAAGAATGCTTTGTGTCTTTCAAATTTGAACAAAAGACTGATGACATTCAAAAGTTGAAAGAGACCTTAAACACCATTTTATCCAACTACTGGCTAACATTCAAACCACCTCTAAAACATCTCCAACAAGCTGTTAATCCAACACTATACGGGGCATGGACTCCTCTGCCGACAAAGAGCTCACTACCTCCCCCATCAGTGTTTGTGTATGGAAGCATTTCGCAACTGATAAAATGCTACGTCAATATTCTATAAGCTTTGGGTCCAGGGACTTGAGATACAGTTGGAATTCCGACTCAGCCATTTATAAGGTATGAAGCTTTGAACATCTTGACCTCTTTGAGTGCCTGCTTTTCTCATCTGTAAAATGGGCATCATCACATCTTATTACAGACACTTGATAAATCTTAGTTAACGTTGATTTCCCGCTCCCCTAAGGAACGGGGCAGAGTGGGTGTTTGGGAAGGAGGGCTCCTGAGTGGAAAGGACTGGGGCGGTTGTATGTCCGGGAATTCTTCTGGAGGGGCCCCCGTGAATGGGATTCTTTCCTCAAGTCCCTCTGCTAGGGAACAGGTCCTGACTTTTAGAAAGTTCTTTCTCATACTGAACTAAGATATGTCTTCCTATACCTCTGCCCAGATGAATCTCTCTCCTGTAGGAGAGGCCTTTAGTTATTTGAAGCAGTGATCAGAACCACTCAAGTAAAGCATTGCCCAGCACACCAAACCAAATCAGACTGGCCACAATCACACTCCTGCCTGCACAGGCAGGCCCAGTTACTGCTGGCCGTACTCACAGCTCAGCCTCTAGGTTCCGCCCAGCACACCAAACCAAACCAGAGTGGCCACAATCACACTCCTGCACAGGCAGGCCCAGTCACTGCTGGCCGTACTCACAGCTCAGCCTCTAGGTTCCTTTACGTAATGAGCCATACGCCTCTGCTCAAAATCAGCTACACCAACACTCTGCTCACACATGTGACTCAATCTGTCGAAGCCTAATTTCCAGGCACACTACCTGAAAATGAAGCAAGGCACGAAGAGCATTGAGGACTGTCACCATTTTATGAAAATACACTTTCAATTTATAAGTCTTGCCCTTGTCTACCTGCCTTGATGCGCCATATAACTAGGCTTAAAGTACCAAAGTTGAGAGTCCATATTTTTCTGCCATGATTTTGTTTTTCTCTAAAATACCTAGGAAACCTTATGGGAAAAGTGGTGGTAGAAGTAACAATAGGAGATTACTAACTACTTCCATAGGATACGTAGTGTGGAATAACAAGAATGTAGTTTCAATGGGACATATAACATGTAGTAGCTAAAATTTAATCTGGATGTTCTAAGACCAAGCTTTAAGGAGACATTTATCTGTCTTGCCTACAGAGTTGACCACAAGGCTCCTGATCTCATGAAGTACAAAGCACTGTGCTAAGTGCTTGGAAGATGTGATAAATTAGAGCTTATGGACTGTGAGAGGAGACATACAGATCCATAAATAAGCATGCATCCAAGAAGGCCATAAAAGATGCATAGAAAAAGCATAAAGGAGGGAGTCGTTAATTTTGAGGGATACGGGAAGATGGAGGAGGTACAGGTCAGTGGTTTTTCCTTATTTGTTCCCCTTCTCCCCATGCCAAGGATGGACATAGAGTTAAAGCAAAAAAGTTCATGAATCTATATGTATCACAAGCACTATTGGTAGGCTGAATATACATGTGGCTTGTACATACTTTGTTATTATTTTTCAAATATGTGTGAATGTTACAGAGAAAAAACAAATTCAAATATAAGAGTTACTGAATTTGTTGTCCCATTTTATATCCATTTCTTTTCAAGAATACAATATCATGTAGGAGGATCTCATGAAACAATGTTAATAAAAAAGAGAGCTTTATATACTTGGAAACATTGGGAGTCAGCTGGAATAGAAAGAGACTCATTTTGATACTAGTCTCAGCACCCATTAAACTGGTTTTAAAAAGTGAGGAATGATGGTAAGAATGTCCAACCTGTCAGTTGATTATTTTGTCACCAGCAACGCTAACAAAGCAGCTTAAGGGCCAACATTCTGCAAGGGTTCCTGGTGATGGGCTGAGTTCAAGGAGGAACCCTGGCACACAGCAGGTGCTCAGCAAACGATTAAAAAACACAAAACAATTACAACAGGATCAAAAACGTTCTGCAAACCGCATAGTGACACACAAATACTGGCCACCACTATTATCATTAAGCTGGGTCTTAAAAGATAAGTAACATCTGACAGATGCTAACAGAAGTAGAGGCAACATTTATTTCTAGTTAGAAGAACTTGCAGGAGCAAAGGTAATAAGGTGTACCCATCTGATGTGTCCAACAGGTAAAGCACTGGTCTCAATCAGAGACAATTTTGTCCTCCAGGGGACTTTTGGCAATTTCTGGAGAATTTCTGGTGGTAACAAATGGGGAGAAGATACTATGGGGTCCCTAGTGGGTATAGGCCAAGGAGCTGTTACACATCCTACAACACATAAATCAGCCCCACAACAAAGAATTAACCTGCTCAAGATGTCAACAGAGCCATACCAGGTTGAGACATCCTGGGGTAGAGCAGAGAAGGCAGGCACAAAATGAGGTTTTGGAAGAACATATGAAGACCAGAGATCTTAGAGGGCTTGCTATGCTCAGGGGATAGACTTTACTGTCTATGCCTGTATTCCTCGAAATGTGATCGACAAACCAGACTCAAGACTCTTCAACTGTGCTGCTGACACATCCAGACTCTCTGGGGTGGGACCCTACAAGCTGCATGTTTTACAAGCTCCCAGATGATTTTCTGGCACATTCAAATTGAGAATGTCTTTTTAGGAATGTGAAGCCAGAAAAGTTAAGAACCTGACAGGATAGGCGAGAGCTGGGCAGAAAGGCCTGTAAGGAAGGACAGGACCAGGCCCCCCCAGCAACTAGCCAAGGTCTATGAAGAAACATTCATCTCCTATCATTCTTCCATCAAATCGCTCCACTCAATTGTGCCAGCCTCCTTGTTATTCCTACAATAGTCATGGGATGCTTCCTTCTCAGAGTCTTTGCAGCTGCTGTTCCCCAACAGAAATGCTCTCCCACCAATATCCATGAAGCTCTTGCCCCCTTTTGCTTCAGATCAAATATGTTTATCAACAATGCCTTCCTAAAATATCCTAATATAAGATAGTAAGTCTCCATCCCGTACCTTGTTTTATTTTTCTCATAGCACTTAACAACACCTAAACATGGTTTACTTGTTTTTGTCTGCTTTCTCCCAACCAAAACATAAGACCCATGAGATCTTACCAGGTACTTTGTTTTGTTCACAGCTGTATCCCTAGTAGCTAGAATGGTGCATTACATATTCCAAGTGCCTGATAAACATGTATTAAATGAATGAATAAAACAACGAATGGACATTAGGGAGAAGAACAAATAGGATTTTGGTGAGAGGCAGGGCAGAAATAAAGCACATAGTTAGCGAGGACTCCGGCATCACAGAGGTCCATTTCAGGACTACCACTTGCTAGATGTGTGAGGCCTCTCTGTGGCTCAGTCTTTTCATTAGTAAAATGAAGGATATGCCAGTAATTGAACGTATCTCTTAGGCATAGGCAGAACAATTGGCACTGGGCCTGACATGCATCAGAGCTAAACAAATGTTAAGCTCTTAGAGGCACTGGTTTGGTGACCTGCTGAAGGAGGAAAAGGTAATTTAGATGGCTCTAAGGTTTCTTGTGCAGGAACTTGAAAGTGGGGGAAGAAGTCACTACACAGGTAAGGGAAAGGTAGGTGTGGGAGTGAAAAGGGCCAAGCCAGGAGTGGTGATTCAGCCACAGAGGTGGCCTAGGACAGGGGTCCAAGGGTGGACTCCAGAACCGAACTCTACTCGTAAATCCCCATTCCTTCACTCACAAGCTATGTGGCCTTAGACGAGTTACTTTCACCCCTCTGTGCTTCAGTGTTCTCATCTTTAAAAAGGGGATAATAACCTACCCTCTAGGGTAATTGTGGGGCTTAAATGAATTCGTTTCCATAAACCACACAGAACAATGCTGGGCATACAGCAAGTGCTATGTAAGTGTAACCATTATTATAATGACATGTGGATAAAGATCATGGTTTCTAGTACAAGAGGGTCTTGTACCAATTGGATTCCTGGATGCTATTAACTGGGTGACCTTGGAGAAGTTACTGCAAAATCTCTGGGCCTCCTTTTTCTTCCAAAACTAAAACGACCTTCACATCAGCGTGAAACCATACAGGCTTAGGCAGAGTAATTTCCAAAGACTCTTTGCGCTTCGCCCTCTGCCTCCAACTCTCCTTCCTGGACCCCAAGAGCTGAGCTCTGCTGAAAAATGCCCAAGCGAAAAGCGCCAGGCAGAAGTAATGCAATGCCGACCCTATCATTCCTGGAGAATTCTGCCCCACCCCCAACCAAAGACCACGCTCTACTCAGGAGCCGAGGCTGCTGCCATTCCCGCTCCCCCTCCCGCCAAACCGGGAAGCCCGCCAGTCGCGGCCCAGAGAGCCCCGAGGAGGGGCCGGGAGGAGGCGGGGCCCAGCTGCGACGTCGCAGTGGAGCTAGCCACGGAGATGCTGGTGGTTGCGCCCGCGCTCTCTCACCAGTAGCAGCTGTTGTAGACACAGGCGTCCCGTGGGGGGCTGGCCGGCTGGTAGCAGGCGGCAGCGGCGGTGGCGGCAGCGACATCCTCCTCCATGGTGGCTTGGGCCAGGGCACCGGCCTGAGGCGAGCCAAGGGGACCGGCTACGCTGGCGGGCTTCGGGAAAGGAGCGGGCGTACGCCAGTCAGCGCGGGTTCTCGGGGCCGAGTGGGCGGAGCCCGGGGCCTCGGGTGCAGTTCCCAAGGGGTGGGGCCTGGGGGCGGGCAGGCGGAACCTGGGCGGGGCGAGCGGCGCAGGTTGCCGGGGCACGGGGGGCGGGGCTACTGCCCGAGTGGGCGGGCCCAGGACTCGCGGAGCAGGTTTGGGTGGGAGGAGCCTGCGGGATGCGCAGGGCTCGTTCCGGGAGGATGGAGACAGGGCAGAGTGGGCGGATCCGGGGTGAGGTGACCGGCTTGAGTTACTCGTGGACGGAACCCCGCGAGGAGGACTGCGCGCTTCCGGTAAATTCGGCCTGTACCCGTGGGTGGAGCCAGAGGCAGGGCGGTGCTAGCAGCTCGGGTTCCTGGGGGGCGGGGCCGGTAGTGCCGGGGTTGGCGGTCTGCGGAGATCAATCAGCTGGAGGAGAAAAGAGGTCACTGGTCGGCGACCTGGGGAGGAATCAGGGGAGGACTTCGAGTTGGTAAGCCGCCGGACCCTGAATGGTGCTTCGTGACTCTCCTGGAGGCGTCTAAGACCCTTCCTCCTTTCTAGGGCCCGGTTGCCAGCTGTGGAGGAACCAGATGAGATGCGGAAGACTCGGCGTGTGCGAGTGTAATAAGAGAAACGCTTGTGAAAAATGAAGCTTTAGCATTTTGATCCTAGAGTCCACGAAAGCCAGGGAGAAGTGTGTGTAGTGAATAATTCCAAATATGTCTGCATCAAGAATGGTCTTAGGGACATCACCCTAAAAGCTCACCATATTGCAACATTTTTAAAAATAGAGAATTGTATATATTGGCTCAGAAAGATCTATGGATTCCTTGATATAGTGAGTAAAAAAATAGTTTTAAAAGTCTACATACTACCCATTGTGTTAATCATATATTTTTATTTGTTGGCAGTCTGGAAGGAGAGAGCCAAATTGTTAAAACAATGTTTACCTCTGGTAAATGAATGGTATGGAGTATTTTCACTTTATGCTTTATAGCCCTCTGAATTGTCTACATTTGCAGTGGACATATACAGCTTATCAGGATACTTCCCATTATACAAACTGAAATTCTTGGTTTATAGGCCATCTACAGTAAGATTTTCTCAATCTCATGAACTCTAATAAAGTCCATAAATCCTAAAGATTTTGAGCATAAATCCTTGTGTCAGTTATCAATTTATTGCCTCTCAGCTCTGAATACACACTTCTACAGGCTCTATGATACTGAAATTCCTCTAAGCATTTGTCCTTTAAAGTGAGCATGATGTTAAGCCTTTTTTTTTTTTTTTCATTAAAGTGTGTTGAAGAAGATTCCTGCAGTTTCTGGGACCGTGCAAAACTTTAGAGTGTGAATATCCAGTGGGGTCTGCCCCAGCCACAGGCCCAGATGTAATCTGTCTGCGACCTTGAAGCTATAGCTTGGCAATAACCTTTCTGCAGCTTTCTTGACACAGAAACCAGAGCCCAGGGAGGCCTGTAGGCAGCCACCTGCCCATACTCCTGCCCTTCATGGCCTGCACAAAGTTACCTGTGGCTTGCAAGCCCACACACTGAGCAGTCTGTCCCTCATCTTTATCAAGTCTCTCCTTCCCTGAGCCCCTCCCTTCCTTCCCAAGGCATTCTGAAAGCCTTCTGCCCCTGCTGGCTCCCAGACTCCCGAGGCATCCCCACACCACTGGTTGATGATAGTGCCCTTCTGCCCACTTCTCTACCTTGCTTAAGGGAAGTTAAATGTCAAGAATTAACTGAGATAAAAATGTAACTATAAGATGTAAAGAAACTACATGGACTGAGGAAGGGTACCCCAGAAGGAAAAATATGAAAGTGGTTTGGACCTCGTTGGAGATGATGTGGGTTGGTTACCAGATAGCAGAGTTCACTGGTTTACCCAGGCTGGAGGTGATCTGGAGTTGCTGGGCAAACAATAGAGAAGAGGAAGAAGAGAACCAGCACTCTCTGCCATAATGGGCTTCTTTATGCTTTAAACTTTCCCTTATAAGAAGGAATTACTTTTTAAATTGAAAAAATAGATAATATTTTAAAAATTCATATGATTTCATGGTAGAGACCAAAAAAGAATATGGTCTCAAGTGTAGGAAGTGCTTAGAACCAGATCCTGACCTACAGACTGCAATGATCTGGATGAGGAAGAAAACAGAGATTCATTCAAAGAAGCCAATATCCAATAAAATCAAGATGTTAAAAGGCAGGGCTTTGGAGGAGGGACACATAAAGGAAAGTATAAAAAAGGGCCACAAATGTGAAAGGGGAGATTCAGGAAGCCTTCGGTACATAATACATAGGTTTAATAACAAAAAGAGGTTTTATTTTTATTGGGGGAGGGGATATTCGTAATGCTCAATATTAAGAGCTAGAAGAAAAAGGAAGAGGTAATCCAATTGCTTGGGACCACATGATATGATGTGATAAGACAACTGAAAGAAAACAAATAGCCAATGGCTATTTCGTTCTATCAAAGAAGATGATCCTCAAGCTGTAAAGAATACGGAAAATAGCCTTAAGAGGAAATTAAAATCAAGATAAGTTCAGTGATAAAAAGCACCAAATCACTTTAAATGGGTTACAAATATTCAGATCCAAATAAATATATGCCAACATACTGAAAGTGCTTGACATTATGACCCCAAAGCCTTTCTAATAGATCTTTGAGAAAATATGTTGCAGGAGATTACATAAGACTAAATATGAATACTTGCTATCTTGAGTTTCATAAAAGGAAACCATATGTGTTCCGGACACTATATACCCTGGTGAACTTGATACCTATTCCCAGCATGGTTTGTGACCATGAAGAAAGATGATTACTTAGGGGACTTCAGTGGTTTACCAAAGCCCATTTTATGCCAAATGGGCCTCATATCAAGTTGTTAGAAGAATTAATTGATCGTTAGAATAAGATAATAGCACAAACAATAAAATTTGATTCCAACAAAGCAGCTGGCCCAGTTTTATTAGTCATGACTCGTTACTCGTTCAAAGTCCGGACAGAAAGGCTATTTATTAGCTCGTTTAACAGGAAGGACAACTGAAGTGTCTCTCACAGTCAGAGGATGAGCTGCAGAAAGCAAGGTCTCATGGAATCAGAAGCAGAACTCATCTCCCAGGCCTTCTTCCTGTTTCAGTCTGCTGCTCAGTGCTTGGCTTCGTTCTCAGGTGACCTCACTTCTTGCTGTGTGGAGGATGGCCGCTGGCAGCCCAATATTCATATTTTCCAGGCTTGGTAACCCCAGTGGAAAGAGAAAACCTCTTTTTCCTCATAGCAATCACACAGAGCAACTTGTACCTTTATTTTTTACATTTCTGTACTACTTGAATTTTTTTCGTGTATTTTTAACAACAAATTTTTAAAAATAAAAAAATTTTCTTCTATCAAATTATCAAATTAATATAAAAAGCTGCATGAACAGACTATTGCTCACTTAACTTTTCCCCTACTATTGTATATTAGTTTGTTTTCAAGTCATTCTATTATAAATAAAGCAGCAATCAACATCTTTATACATAAATCTTGATCTGTGACTCTGATTATTCTGTTAGGATGGAGTGCTAGAGGTGGAATTCCTGGGCCAACAGTTTTAAATATTTTCCAGGTCTCTTGATACATGTTGCTATATTGCTTTTAAGAAATGGACCCATATCAGTATCACATTGTTATTTTAAAAAAATACAGGCCAAAAAACTGCCAGTCCCATTGTTAGTTTAATTTGCATATATCTGTTACTACTTTCTTGCACTAAAAGGGATAATTTCAGTATAAAGCAGTAAGTGATAAGGCAGCAATGTACTATGGGACCTCTGAGGGAGCACAATACTGTTATTACTTATCTTACTTAGAACGGGGTAGAAGAGAGGCAGTATTCCCAGGGGCCTCTGCATGGCCCAGCCCATGCCTGTGTTATTAGGGGATGCTGATAAAGAGGGAAAGTCTGGAAAGCGCATCATAAAATCATGACATATCTTCCCAGCTCACTTTCCGTGCCCACAGACCCTCTCTCCCGAACCTCCATCCCCCAGATTTTAAAGGGGTGTCTGTTTCACATGGCCTCTCAATGTTCCTTTTGTCAGTGTCCATTCCAGAAAACCACTGGTAAAATTCCTCTTTCTGACTCGAAGCCTCTATACCAGTCAGAGTTCTTGGTTGCAAACAACAGAAACCATCTCTGGCTAACTTAAACAGGAAATCACGTTGCTGGAAGGATGGGGAGGAGGGAGGTTGGGTGGGACTTAAGGGAAGCACAGCCAGGTTACACTGATATAATGCTCCAAGAACCCAAGAATCCACTAGTTAGGATGCTACCATCAATGACCCTGCCTCTGTACCCTCTGCTATTGCCACCATGAATAATCTCTGCCCCTGCATCTTTGGGTCACTCCTTCAAGAGGCAATGAATATCTGAAGTGGGAACAGCCCACGGACTGAACTAAGGTCACATGCTTGAGTCCTAGTTGCCAGCTTAACAGGAAAATGAAGTAGCTGTCCCCGTAGGCTTTGTATTGAAGGAGGCAGGGCCCTGCCTAACCCAAACCCACACAAAGAGAAAATCTTTCAGATAGGAGAGGTGTCTATTGAAATTCTGAATAGCTAAAAAATGGTAAATGTCAACTCTGATCATCCCCCACCTCCAAGTGATTAATAGTTTTTCTCTCTTTTGTGGAAAATCAGTAAGATAAGGTATCAAATGTAAGTAACAGATTTATAACATTCCTGAAAGACATCCCTGTAGAAACTGACTTTTACTTTCTAACTTTGTTAGAGTAAGAAGGTAGAAAGGGACCTATCTATGACCTCATCTCAAATGACGTAATGGAATTATGATTAGCTCTTACCTCAGCCCTCTTTTCTGTCACACTTGGGGTAAAAAACACTTGACCCTCTTTAAGCAGTCAGGAGTTTGGGGAAAGGCCCTCAGTTTCTTCTGCCCCTTCTTTTCTTAAATCAAGTCACTCCAATCTGCAAAAGCTAAGACTTTGGAAAAGGGAAGAAGTATCACCTCCCAAAGGCCAATTCCAAACAACTCCGTAAGATTCCTAAGGCTGCTATAACAAATTAACACAAATAGGTGGCTTTAAAAAATTATTCTATCACAGTTCAGGAGGCCAGAAGTCTGGAATCAAGGTGTCAACAGGGATGGCTCCTTCTGGAGGCTGTGAGGGAGAATCTGTTCCATACCTCCTCCTGGCTTCTGGTGGTTTGCTGGCAATCGTTGGTGTTCCTGGGCTTAACGATGCATCACTCCGATTTCTAACTTCATCTTCACATCGCCGTCTCCTCTGTGTGTCAAATCTCCTTCTCTTTTCTCCTATGACACCAGTCCACTATAAATCCACAATGATCTCATCTCTAGATCCTTAATTACATCTGCAAAGCCTCTTTTTTCTCAACAAGGCCACATTTACAGGTACCAGAGTTTAGAACTTGGACATGTACTTTTGGAGTACACGAATCAACCCGCTACACCAACCAAAGGCTGAAACAGGTATGGTAATTCTAAATATTGTGGGAGAGAGAATAAAAGAACAGTGAAAACTCTTTGGCTGGCTCTGTTGGTGCTCTGAAATCTCTATTTCTTTGCTTATTTTAAAAGAACTAAACGACTGCTATAATTTCTGTGGAAATCAATTTGGTGATATCTAACAATCACAAAGGCATATGTATTTTGAGTAGTTCTTTTTATACATTTTTGTTGAGGTATAATATGCATAAAGGAAAGTGAACATATCAAAAGTGTATACTATGCTACTTTAAATATCGTTCTTTCCTCTTGCATTTATATTGGGTAAATGATCATTTTAAAGCTTTTTCTATTGTAAAATTAATACATATTTAATGCCAAAAAATCGGAAAAATTGAGAAAAGTACAAAAAAACTACACAACGACCATAATATTACCACTCAAAAATTAACCATTCACATTTGTTGTAGTTTCTTCAAGACTTTATCCAACACAAGTATACGCTAACATTTTTTTAAAAACAAAAATGGAACCATATGACACATAATTAAATTAATACAGTTACATCATAATTTTTAACTATACAGCATTTTGACTATATAGCATTCTTAAGAGAGACCCCACTGAAGGACATTTAAGTTTTCAGTTTTTTGACATTGTAAATAATG